AGAAGCAGGAACAAGGGCGTCGCTACTAGGAACAAGGATGCTACTAGAAACACTGTCCGATCGCCTGAGCTGCAGTGCTCCATCGTATGAAGCAGGCCTCCAGGATCAGTCCGAAACACCCGCAAAAGTGATCCGTGCCATTACGCACGTGGTCTGCCCCTCACACAGCAGCTAACTCCGGGCATCTCCACATGCCAAACAGACTGAAAGGCGACACAACCTTCTTGGAAGACTAGTGAAAGCATGATGTCTGATCCTAGTCTTTCGCTCCAAGAGCTGCCTCTTCGATGCCGCGCAGCTCATCTTCCGAGTCCAGCCTGTTTTTGGTTGAGCCATGAACCGCGCAGCTCATTCTGCAGATCTGGCATCCTCACGCCTCTCGAAGTGCTGATGACGTGCTGGAACCTCGTGGTAGGTCGGCTTGGCCTGGCGGTTCCGGGCATGTCACACCTCGGCCTGGGAAGAACAGCGACAACAGCTTTATTTCAACCTGATCTGGATCCCAGCGACTTTCAATGTCCTGAGCCACACGAACTTGGCCACAGCTTGGTATAGAAACTTCGCCTCTTGCTTTCTCCGATCTCAGTCCTCCATCGCTCTCCATTCCGATCCTTCGGGCGGGCCCCTCCAATGTCCTTCGGGCGCCGCGGACGGCCCGTCACCTGCGAGAGAACTCGCCATCGCGGACGAGAACGGATGACCGACCTAGGAACAAAGGGCATCGCTACTAGCTCCTGGCCTTACTATACTAGGAACAAGGACGCTACTAGGAACAATGACCGACCTGATCATGACTGAAGCAGGAAATGGGACGTTTTGGTCGAAAAGGAGGCTGCTTGAGCCGAAATGCACCAGCTGAGCCAGCAACGAAATGACCACTTTGAACTCTTCTAGCTTCCAGAATGAAACTAAGTGACACAACTTGGTAGAATCCGGCACATGACGATGAAGGAACCACGCCAAACTAAGAGATCCAAAACAACCGCTGAAAGCGGCAGATTCGCCGCTGCGGCCACGGGTCCATGCGAAGTCCTTCTCTTCGGAGGCGGTGATGCCAAGCTCCTGGGACTCAGCGCGCGCTGGCTGGCGGCGCGCGGAGCCGCTCTGGATGGGCTGTGTAACGGCTTGCAGTTGCTGACAAAACAGAAGAACTTCTAGATTCTGGGTGAAGAGTTTCATCACACAAACACACACACACACAGATGCAAAATCGCTCGAGATATGATGCGTACGATCTGAATGCCCCAAGCCACGAAGAAACCTAGGTGAAAAAAAAACCGCCGGTGCGTGACTGCGAACCTGGAAACCTGAACGACCTTTACGAGTGGACGATATTACTACATTTACATACATTTACACTCACAACCGAAGCGGGTACATGGGACAGGCCAAGTCCCACATCCCGCGTTATCACCTAGCTTCGTCGGTCAAGGTTGGTGATATCGTGCCTTGACCCCCTGCATTGTATATAGTTCAAAAAGGAAACGAAGGCCTAAAGGCTGAGAGTCCAAGGGTTACACACGCACAATTTGCACACAATACTCTTGAAATCTGAATTATTGGTTACAATGTATGACGGATGTGGGTTCGTGATGGTGTAATGTTGACAGAACGCATCTACAATCATCTACTTAGCCGCGTAGCTACGCAGCTGGACTCTCCTGGATCATAGCCTCCACAGCAGGGTCTCGCACCGGTGGCTCCCATGGCGGGGAAGGTGAGCGTGGTGGCCACAAGCTCTGCAGCGGTTGTGCTGGCGAAGCCGGACGCCAACTCCAACAGCTGGCACTGCCTGTGAAGTCGAGTCTGATGGATACTCGGTGTGACAGAAAATGCAAGAAGGTCTAGATAGAGACAGGAAGGAAAGGACAGGAAAAACAAAAGGGCTAAAGCTTAAGTTTACCAACAAATGTAGCAACCCAATTGCCCTTTAACCTCCAGTGAGTAGTAGCTTCAAACAGCTAAGCCTACTACAACAGCTACAAAGCTACACTTAAGCAAGGACTGCCTACCCGACCCTTTTCATCCCCAAAGTGTAGTTCAAGGTGTTCCTGTCAGTCTCTTGTTGCTTGTTTTGCGATGTAGATCGATGAACATCGTCTACCAGGTCTACCAACGTTTAGTACACCTGTCGCCAAGAAGGCGTTCTGCTGCGGCCACAGCAAGTGAGGATACTGCTGCTGCTGCCTCAAACAAGCCAAACGACATGTCGCGCTAGCCAAAACCAATCAAAACCATGTGATAACTTCCACACTCTCCACCAACCAAGCGCGCTCGTGCGGTTGAACATGAGACGCGCATAAGATGTTTTGCCCAAGTTACTGCAGTTGTGCCTGGACTTGGTGGTGCTGCCATCCCGCTGACGTGGCATACCTAGAAGCTGAAAACATCACAAAGCCAAAGCATTTAGCTACTTGTTCCTAGTAGCGTCCGAACGCTCCTAGTAGTAAGGCCAGGACCCCCCTAGTAGCGTCCTTGCTCCTAGTAGCGATGCGCTTTGCTCCTATAGTAGCGTCCTAGTTTGCGGTTCACTTTCCCTGACTTCGTGAATCTCCGGTCTTTGCGACGGACAATTGCTCATGGATTAGCTGGCCGCAAAACAGGTGTCAAGGATGGTCAAAGACTTTGCGTATTCAAGACACCCCGTGGAAAAACACGCTGTTTCCAGTCCAAACCCCCTTGAAGGCTGGGGCTTCAGCGGGAAATACGTACTTCAAGTACCAGTCCAGGAAAACCAATACCATGACAACACCATGCAATGTGCATCACATGGAAGTGTGACAGCATGCGGACTGGACATTAAAACCTGAACGCTTACTGTAGTGCATTTGAGGTGCTGGGCCATTCGGTGTCACAGCTGCTTCATGGCTGCAATGCTGGCATTGACACAGCACAATGCAAACACAAACAAATATCGACTTAGTTGAACTGAATCGTCTTCTCATGGGTGGATCTGGCTTCGGATGCATGGCTTGTGTTCAGTGATGCGTGGTGACGCGGATGAAGTAGGACATCATCCTGTGAATGGAGAGGGGGGCATCCCGCGAAAGCACAAAGGCCGATCTAAGTGGATGCTATGAGGCTCACAGGGCCACACTCAGATGTTCAGCAGTGTCGAAGGCAACTCAACACCAGCGGCAAAAGGCCGCTTCAGCTGCTTCTCCAACTCTTTGGGCCAAGGTCCATTTTCTTCAGCATCATTCTGGAGTAAACATCGTCCTTCAGCCCTCTATGTTATATGGGCAACGATGGATGACGTCGCTGGCCCCTCGCTCCATGACTCGGAGAAGCAGCCCTCCTAGATCCTAAGCAGTGAAACGCCCCAAGGTGAAATCTCAGAGCCGAGAAGGGCGGTTTTCCACGCACTGACCCATGAGGCACCATAAGGCAGGTGTATGAACAGGGTCGTCATTTCCTAAGTCGTGCAACTTGCTTCAGGAAAGACTGTGGCGACGATTTCGGCGACGAAAGCCCAATGTACTTGCATCAGGGTTCGCTTGGCTCAAGGGAACACATGCAAATACTTGACGCATGTGATAACATGCCACGATGTTCAATGTCTACATGACCATGTAGATCATGTAGCAAGTACAAAGCAGGAATGGTGCAACACTATGCCACACTGCCACACCGCTGGAACCTTTTCTCAACGCTTCCAGGCATGCACCGCATCCACAAAGGCCTGGACGAGCTCTGGGCCTTGCAGATTCAAACATCGAGGTCGATTGACCATACACGGCTTGGTCAACGGAATCGATGCATTGGGTTGCATTTAAAAACGTGGTTAGGCGCTGCGGATCGGCGTTGCTGGCAAGGCCAACGCCCTCACAGATTGCCACTGAGGGACTCGCTCGGGGAAAAAAGGAAAACTTTTTCGATGTCCAACCTTCCACCGGGGGTGGCTGGGTGTGGTGAAGGGGTGCGGTCCAAGGGGAATCACCTGCTACGGCTGGGCCGGTGGGGCAATTTCCAACTTCAGTTTCTGAGACCTCTGCTCTCCTGGCCGTTGAGCCCTTCTCCCAGGTTAGCAATGAGCCGCCCAGTCGGCACTTTGGCGAGCATCACCTGGCAGATGTTCTTTGAAGGGAATCAGTTGGAACCAGAAGGAGCAGAAGCACTTGAGACTCAGTCACCTAAACAACAACGGTTTGAAGTTGTGACTCTCGCTGGGGACCCCAGGCCTCAACTTCGCGCTGAACCTCGGCAGTCAAGCTAATTATATACATGATGGTACACAATCGCCAAGTAATTAGTGAGGATGGCCGTCGCATGAGCTGCCCGGGCCGCATTTCTTTGGGCACTGGCATTCTTGGTGCTGGTCTCTGGGCCGCGTTTGCGAGCACACGCACAAACATACCAGATTGTGCCGAGGAGGCAGCCAAGAAGCCGTTGAAAGGACGCTCCATGTAACAATGTATGTCAAGTTGTCACGAAACATGAGATGAAGGACATTAGGTAGGGCTCTAGGTTCAAATGGTTTCCCTTTTGTCTGGGCAACAAACAGCACCATCATGAACACCATCACTGCACGTTAACCCTTCCTGTTGATCTTGAACTCCAGGTCTCAGTTCAGTGACCGAGCTTTTCCTCGACTCCGGGCAACGCATGGCAAAGGCTGGCAGGTCGTGAACGATAGGCTGAGCCTCTCAGCGGAAGCTGATGCAAACGCCGCTGAGCCTGGCTTCTTACGCCAACGAGGCAAGCTCACGACCCATATGAATGTCTTGACAGAGGCCATAGCATTGAAACAAAACTCTAAATGAAGCTGGCTACTCGAATGTCGTGAAATCTTAGATTCTTAGATGATGATTCTGTGACTTCACTTTTTCACTTCTGGCCCCAGTCAAGAGCGCGTGCCCTCATCATCATTGTCACCTTCACTCATCGTCGCTATCATCGAACCTAGGCTTTGCAGGGAAATTGGAGGGTTGTGTTGGTCAATGCTACCGAGAGGAGAGCAAAACAACTCCGAGAAATGAAGAGCATCTGAAACCCACTAAAACATCATGATAATCATGGAGCCACCTTTCTATCGGTTCGGAATTGCTCCGCGCGAACTTGTGAATCATGAGGAAAGGCTCCCTCCTTCAGGTAACTTGACTGGAAGACTCCGCCAGGGAACTTGATGGAGTTTACGCCCTGATCAATCTCACCACCACCTCTCCATGAAGATCTTTTTTTCTTGGCCATCTCCTTCCGAAAGCCTGAGTTCAACACCGAAGCCAAAGACATCCAAAGACTCTCATGCGCACATAGCCTACAGTACACAAAGATCAGAGATCTGAAATCTGAAAAACATTGACAAATCATCTGGGCCAAAATGATTTTAAGGCGGTCAAAGAAACCTTTCCCCTTGGTCTTGAGCAAGTCCTCGGAGGCTTTGTCTGCCCAGCTGTCGCCTTTAGAGCCTCCAAACTTCTGCTTTGCAAGGTGCGTGTTGTCCAGGAGCCTGGGGTCCTACACTCCGCTCGCCGGCACGCCCCGTTGACGGCACGCCGGAACGGATGGTATCTCTTCGATTGCTACGTGGAGACGTGGCAAGCACTTCGGATCCAAAGTACACCCTGCCGTGCAAATGATGGGATGGGATCAGCAAGGACATGTCCCAAACATGGTCATTCAGTGACACTCCGTGACCAACAAACCATTAAGCCTATTGAAGGAACAACCCATTCATTTTCGTGTCTCATGTTCTACCCCTTTCATCGTTTTGCAGCATTGAAAGGACGTCTTTACCTTTGAAGTCTCTCGCTGGGGAAATGCACCGGCTCAATCCAGAGTTTGAAAGGTTGACATAGGAGCAAATATTCATGCACTGGATGGAGGCTCATGATAGGTCATGCGTTTGTGCCATGATGTGCCAGGCACTTCACAGGTATTCTAAGTGCTCAAGTTCAACGTCCTTCAAATTGCAGCACGTGGGAAGTCCTTGATCGTTGACCTCCACTTGTCGTCATCAATCCGCTTGAAGGGAGTTGATTTGTCTTCTTTCACTTCCTGGCAAACATCTTGAGCACTGGATCTTGAGTTGCTTGGTGCGCTCTTCAAATCTGAGAACATGAAAGCAGAATTGGCTTCACTGCAGATCTGCTCTTGGTTGTTAAGTCATGTCTGCACATGTCACATGGATCTGGAGCCTTCTTTTGCTTCTTGGACTTCTTGTTCACACTGACCTCCATCTCCGCTTGCTCTGCTTGCTCCACTGCCGCGGCCTCTGGCTCAGCTTCGACCTCAGCAGCCTGGTCTGGAATGCATGGGCAATGGGCCATTGTTAAATTCTCTCTTCATAGGCTCAAACAACGCAACAAAAAAATGAAAGGTAAGACCCTCTTTCAACGGGCTGTGCCTTCCTCTTTCTGCATGTGACGTGATCCCAGCCTTAGCTGCTTCTTCCTCTCTTTTCCTCTTCTTGTTGGGTCGGGGCCTTAGGTGTGCCGAGCGATTTGATTTGGCGCAGCTGGTCGAGCATCCTCTGAGCTCCCCCGGCGTCAGAGGCTCTTCAGCCACAGGCTCAGCCGCCGGGGCCACAGGCTCTCCCGCTCGCTGCGCATCTAGCCAGCTTTGGCACGCAGCCACAAGCTCCAGTGGCTCCAGGGCCTTAGCCTTCTTGGGCTTCACCTCAGATCGATCCGTCCAAAAACCAAGCAGAACTCCGAATTTTCAATCAAAAGACATATCAAGAATTGGAGTCCAACTAGTTACATCAATTATATACCTGGGCAGGCGGCCACGGGCACATCCTCCAAAGCAGATGTCTCCTCAAGCACACAATAAACCTACAGTAACCTACTTATACCTAATTACAATAGCTTTCAAGAAATGGATCGACAATACGCTTTCCAAAGCTTTCAGGCGTCAAGTTCTGATCTCAGGCTGCCAAAAGCTGCGTCTCTCTCTCTCTCTAACTGCCCTCACGTACTCATGTACCAAACACAGAGCATTCCTTGTCCAAAGCTTTAAGAGTGCGGTTGAGCCCGCTTTCCAGTAAAAAGCGTCGGACTGCTGGATAAATATCCTGAAGGATCCCACAGGACTTCTACAGTCAGATCATGTCAGAGACACACAGATCTGAACGAAACCAGCGAAGGCATGCTCACACAAGCATTCATCTGAACAAATCCTACTAGCGATGGCCTCCAACCTAATAGCGATGGCTCACACATGCATTCATCTGAACAAAACCAAGACACTGAGGGGTTGAGCTTCATCGCTAGGACCACAGCTGTGCCTGATGATTTGTGACTTCGAGACCTCTCTACATGCATCAAGCAACACCCTTGGCCTTCGGGCCGCGTCTTGGGCTGGTTTGAGCCAAGGGCCGGCATACGGGGCGCGCGTGACATTCACTGCCACGATGGTTTTACATGTTTTACCCCTCATCAGGACCGAAATCTAAATGGACACAAATCAAACGCTCTCAGCCAAGAAGCATCCTCAACACTGCTCCCTGGCCGGAGCCACTTTGGATCAAAGTTCCCCTGCAAGTTGGCCACGCGGCCTGCAGCAAACCAGCAAGAGGTAGGTCCGGTAGGTTAAAGAACTATCAAGGTGTAAGTTGTGATGTTCTGCGATGCTATTAAACTTCCACGCACATCAACAAATAGACTCAACTATGTAGATTTTCCAAACAAGTGTATATACTTGATATGCTTGATTGGTTTTCTTGGCAACCGACATAACCGACATAATGCTCCGCACCTTGTGAAGCAGCCTTCAGGGACAACTCCGCCTCGGCCAGGTCGGTGGCACAATCAGCCGTCACCACGTCGAAGCCCGCCTAGGCCAGGTCGGCCAAGGGTCAAGGCGAAAACAGGGCAGGCAAAATCCGATGGGTTCGCATTCTCGTTTCGGAAAAAGCAGTTGGCCTGTTTTTGGAGAGGATGGGGATTGGGATGGGGCTTGGGCACATGCTTCTCCGCTTCTTTTGGTGCGACTGCATAGAACTGAAGAATAAGGGGGGATGTGGCGGCTAGTCGGCCACTGCTCCGAGAGCACGGCGTTCTGAAGTGCTGGCAGCGCATAGCAGGCTCCTCGCGGGAAGACCATCAATGGCACCTGTACCAAAAGGGCACACGTTGCGGCTGGGGCTGGCTTAGATTCTTCATCTGAGCAAAAAAAGAAACAAATAAGTTTAGAAAAGAAAGAAGCAAAAAGGACAAGAAGACCGAATAATGAAATTCATGCTATTTTTTACATCTTTTGTCATCGACTGTCTGGCCTTTGGTCGCATAATTACAACTTCCTAGAAGACACCAAGAGGCTTTGCTGTGAAATAATTAGGAACCCTTTTTGTACTAGTCACCGCGCAAACAAAAACTCACGACCCACAACTGCCAACGCAATGACTAGTCACTAGTCACTAGCCCTTGAATGCTTACTACATCTCACTACTTTGTTGGAGGCCATCGCTCTTAGGTTGGAGGCCATCCCTATTAGGTTGCATTGCTATTAGGTAAACAAAAACTTCCCCTTAAATGCTCACTACTTTGTCGTCTCTGTAGCTCGTAGCTCGTCGCCTCGGGATGCCGTTCCTTGAGAGCTGTTGCAATGCGAGTCATGGCTGGCACTGCAAAGGACTCCAAGTTCGCCTAAGCCCAGAATGGGGTGATTCTCATTTCCAAAGATTCCTTGAAGAAGACATATAAATTTCCAGGCATTCTAGATCTGAACACTGGACGGGACATAATATAGACATCCTTGTTACGGGGACAATGTTATGCAATGTCATAGTTTCCGCTTCTTGCTCTCTTCACCTCGCGCACAGCTTTAGCGGGGTCCATTGGGATTAATATATATAAGTTTCATTAAATTTCCAAAATTTCAAGGAACCAAATGATTGGCAAGAACGCTTCTTTAAGGAAGCCTGAGCTATCCTGCGTCCTACCCAAACGCCAGCTTAGCCCTTACTTTATTCAGTAGGTACCTCAAGTAGCAAGGAGCAAAACGGACTCAAAAAAAAATCTGACAAGTCCAAGTAACGGGGCTGATGTGTTCTCCCATAGCTTCGAAGACTTGAAGGACGTGGCAGCCGCTCCGCACCTGCGCGGACAAATACTCGATGATGACCTGGGCACTGTGCGCATCTGTGCGCCGTGCCATTCCCGAGATGGCCGGTAGTTGATCATTCATGAAACTTCCTGGCTATCGCTACTAAGTTGGGGGGCCATCGCTACTAGGTTGGAGGCCATCGCTGCTAGGTTGAAGGCCACCGCACCTAGGTTGGAGGCCATCGCTACTAGGTTGGAGGCCGTCGCTACTAGGTTGAAGGCCATCGCTACTAGGTTGAAGGCTATCGCTACTAGGTTGGAGGCCATCGCTACTAGGTTGAAGGCCATCGCTACTAGGTTGGAGGCCATCGCTACTAGGTTGAAGGCCATCGCTAATAGGTTGGAGGCCATCGCTACTAGGTTGAAGGCCATCGCTACTAGGT